GCTATTTTTCTGGGATTGTTTCAGGGAAGTCCTGGCCAAGCCTCCACAATGGACCAAAACAGCCATCTCTAGACTTCAGGATTTCACAAATCAGTAAAATTTTGGAACAAATTTGGGGGAATAACATAAAGTTGCTAACCTTTTATTTAGGTTGCTAAGACTTTAAGACACACACACACACACACACACACACACACACACGCAAAAACTGCCAATCATTACCACCATAATTTCATGAAAGAAAAGACATTTCAGAGCCAAAGGAAATGTTTGAATAAGCCTAACTTTATGGAAATCTCACCAAATGACTTTATTTTATTCATTTCTTTATGGACCATGAGACCCCCATCATAGGCCAGCACAGAGCCAAGAGGCAGCCACCAGGTCCACCACGGTCTGCTCTCACTGTGGACTCCGGGCTCTTTAAACCAAGATAAGGAAGAATTCCCATCCCAGTGGCCAGGGTCTTCAGACCCACGTGAAACCTGCCTGGGCAGTTTACACCCATAATGATGCCACTTAGTTAAATGTTCAAGGTGTGCCCACACCCTGCCCGACACCTAAGGTTTCCAAACAGCAATGGGAAGACAAGTGGGTGAGGAGCTCTGTGCCCTCCATCCCATTCACCCTCAGCCTAGCCTGGCAACTCTCCTCTATTAACTTCATAAATTGGGCTTCCAAAAACAGCTGGCCCTTCGGACCCATGGGTTCTGCATCTGCAGATTCAACCAAGTGTGGATGGGGAATATTTGGGGGAAAAATAAAAAATTGCAATCAACAATGAAAACTATTCAAATAAAAATGATACAGTATTTACTTAGCATTTGACATATTATAAGTAACCTAGGGATGATTTAAAGTACATGGGAACATGAATATATGTTATCTGCAAACATTATGCCATTTTATACCAGGGACTTGAACATCCATGAATCTTGCTATTCACAGGGTCCTGGAACAAATCCCCTGTGGATATCGAGGGATGACTGTACTATTTTGTTTGAAACGGGTCTTGCTGCTAAAAGAAAGTTTAAGAGTGTTGCTAAAGATACAGAGAATACACTTGTAATTCCAGCATTTTGGGAGGCTGAGGCAGGCAGATCCCTTGAGATCAGGAGTTTGAGACCAGCCTGGCCAATATGGTGAAATCCCATCTCTACTGAAAATACAAAAGGTTTCTGGGTATGATGACAGGCACCTGTAATCCCAGCTACTTAGGCTGAGGCAGGAGAATTGCTTGAACCGGGAGGTAGAGGTTGCAGTGAACCAAGATCACAGTACTGCACTCCACCCAGCCTGGGTGACAAAAGTGAGACACCATCTCAAAAAGAAAAGAAAAATAACATAATAAATGCATGGAGGTGGGAAGCACAGGCCATGTTTAAAGACGAATAAGAAGCACCATTCGGATAAAGCACAGATTAGAGGGGAGGGTGGGGAAGGAAATCATACCATTCAGTGCCTATCAGGTGGCAGGCATCATGCTAAGTGTTTTAGCTAATATGTCATTTACTTGTCCAAACAACTCCATAATCAAAAACCCCCGCTTGGCCAAAACCACCTTAAACAAAGTAAAAAGACAAATGACATGGTAGGAAAAATATGTGCAACTCGTATCTTAGACAAAAGATGAATCTCCATGATATCGGAGTTCCTAGAAACAGAAATGACAGACACCAACAGCCTTAAAAGAAAAATCAGCAAAGAATATGAACAGGTCACAGAAAAGAAAGATACAAACATTTCTTGAACGCAGAAAAATATGCATAATCGTTCTGGTAAGGGATGCGTGAATGAAAACTCTGAGATAGTATTTTTTAATCCATCAGATCAGGAAAAAAAAATCCAAAAGCTTAATAACATACTCATTTGTGAGACGATGCAGAAACAGATACTCTCGGATGCCGCTGGCAGGCATGTAAATTGATACAGACCTTCTGGAAAGCAATTTGGCAATGTCTACCCGCATCCCAAGGCATCCACGCTGTGACCCTGAAGCTCCACCTCCAAGATTATCCTGCAGATAAACCTTCTGTGGTAGGTGTGGCTGCCCAGCCCAGGCCCCCTTTCTGGCTCGTGTATCTGCAAGTGCAGTGGCTAAAGGCTTACCCCTGTGATTTCTTCCGAGCCATGCTCTTGGCTGATGCGAACCACCTGAGAAGCTCCTCCCACCACCGTGACCACACAGCCTATGACTGCCTGAAAGAGAAGTTCAAAAGCCTGGGCCCCCATGCCTCAAAGAGGAACAACTTTGTAAGCTCTATCCTTAATCGGGCCAAAGCTTGATTTACCTGGGACCACATCTTTACTTGGCTCTCCCCTTTCCCACATTGCTTCCTTCTCTTCTTTAGCATTCCCCACCAAAATCACACACACCCAAATCCCCACCAAAATCACACACACCTGAATCACCCCAAATCACACACACCTGAATTCCACCCAAAATCAAACACACCTGAATTCCACCCAAAATCACACATGCCCCAATTCCACCCAAAATGACACACACCCGAATCCCACCTCTGGGGGACCCGACCTAAGACACTTGCAAATGTCCAAAATGATATATGAACAAGACTATAGCAGCACTATTTTGTAATAGCAAAATATTTTGTACAGAATCAAAACAACTTAAACGTCCTTCAAAAGGGGACTGGTTAAACAAACAAGGATCTGCCCGCAGAATGGGGTAATAGGCCCTGGAAACACAGCAGTGGCTCCTTTGCATCAATAAGTTAAGCTTTCCAAGACATACTGAAAAGGGAAAACGCAATAGCCCCATCCCACCACTGACTGTTTTGTACAGACTGTGACCTAACAATGGTTTTCACATGTTAAAATGGCTGAAAAAAAAAATCAAAAGAAGAATAGTACCTCGTGACATGAGAAAATGATAAGAAATTCAAATGTAAGCATCTATAAAGTTTAACTGGAACACAGCTGCCCTCCTTGTCTGTGGCTGGTTTTGCTCTCCAATGGCATCACTGAGTAGTTGCAGAAACCGTATGTCATAGAAACTCTATTTACTGTCTGGCCATTTATGGAAGAAGTGTGCTGGCTCCTGGTGTAGGGCATGTGAACTTCTGTGTAACATACAGAAAATAAGGATATATGTTGCAGTTATTTGCATATTAATAAAGCTTGGGAAGATACCCTGGAATATTAATAACAGTGGTTACCTATGTATGTGGCAGGGTGGAGAACAGGGAGTGGGAAGTGGGTGGGTAGGGATACACTGGTGCTGGCTCTATAATTTAATGGCCACTTTCTCTGTGCCACATTTTGTGCTGATAATGCCCATCACGTGCATCCTCTCACATAGGCCTCTCCATAATCCAAGAGTTAGATACTCATTATCCCCATTTTATAGTCAAGAAGACAGAGGCTATGGGGGTTCTATGCCTTGCAGAAGGTGGCTGAACTCCTAAGTGCAGAGGCCAAGTTGCAAAATCAGGTAACTTTATCCTAAGTCCACCCACCATTAATCGTTTCTTTATCGCCATTTTACAAATGAGGACATTGAGGCTTCGAGGGATTAAAGAATAGGTCCGGGCCCTTATGGTGGAGGGCTTGAACTATTGGTGGAGGAGTCTGGGCTGTACCCAGTGGGTGGGGGGAGTGCCCTGAGATTTCGAAGCAGGGCAATGACCTGGTCCAAAGAACAGCTACACGTTTTCACCCATTCAAAGAGCAAGTACTGAGTGCCTGTCACAGACCATGCACTGACACCCAGGGATGGCAAAGAAAACCTTGGGTGGAGTCTTCTGCCTCCTAATCTCCAGTGGGGAATGGACAAAAGGACTAGCACCCTAGCAAAGGTGAGAGGGCACAGGGGAAGCCATATGTAAGCCTCAAGTCACTCATGGTCTTCAAGCAGGTCTAGGACATGTTGGGATGGACATTCTTTTTATTTCCGCCCTGAGATGGAGTTTCATTGTTGTTGCCCAGGCTGGAATGCAATGGTGCAATCTTGGCTCACTACAACCTCCGCCTCCCGGGTTCAAGCGATTCTCCTGCCTCAGCCTCCCGAGTAGCTGGGACTACAGGGGCACACCACCGCCCAGCTATAGATGGGGTTTCACCGTGGTTGCCAGGATGGTCTCGATCTCCTGACCTCATGATTTACTCGCCTTGGCCTCCCAAAGTGTTGAGATTACAGGCGTGACCATCACGCCCAGCCAAGGGATGGGCATTCCTAAATGATGATTGTGGTGAAAGACCACCTGCTAGAGAATGGACTAAAGACAGGAGGACCGGAGGCCAGCTGGAAGGCTTCGGCTGTGCTCTAGGCTATCAGTGGTCGAGGAAAGAACGAAGAAGACATGGATGCAAGGGCTATTTCAGATGTAGAGACAGATAATTCCCAGCTATGGCTTGGACAAATGGGTGGAGGGAGTTCCAAGAGCCAAGATCTCAACACGAGAAATCCAAGAAGTCAATGATATTGGATATAATGAGTGTTTGGTACCTCGAGATGGATCTCAAGATGAGAACACCCAGGAGGCAGAAGTTGGGAGAGAGTTCTGGGGCTGTAGACACAGTTGGGGCTGGAAGGAGGGCGTAAGAGTAGGGGTGGTGTCTGCAGAGTTAAGAGGGAAGGATGATATCACTCGGGGAAAGCAGGCAGAACGAACCATGCTTCAGAGTGCCACTGCCTGACTGAGGCATAAATTCTGCCAACGTTTCCCAATTTAAAAGGGGAAAATGTATTAATGAACAGAATGGTCTCAGTTCTAAGTCTTGCTCCCATAAATTCTTCTCCAGCCTCTGGCGCCTGCTACTACTTGTCTGCTAGCACACGATTAAACAAACGAACAAGCCGTAAATTAATATTAACGGAAAAATGTGGCAACGGCCTATCATACTTCAACCCACAGTTTGCTCTTTTCACGGACACGTGTGTGTGCCTATAGCTGTTGTTGTTTTTTTTTTTTTTTTTTTTTTTTTTTGCACACATAGACGATCGTCATAGTTTCTGCTAATAAAACTGTTCCCAGCTCTAATCATGAATTAAGTATATTGATATTTCACAGTATTCCTTACGACTTCCAGGTGTTCTGACACCTAAACAGTTTGAGAAATGTAAGAGTAAAGAGAGAACAAAGGGCAGAGGGACCTGGGGAACACCAGCGTTTAAGGGGCAGATGGAGCAAGAGGGTCTGAAGGGAAGGGAAGGGAGCAGCCAGAGGAGTGGGAAGGATCGAGGAGAAAGCTCCAAGAGAGGAAGGCGTTCCCAGACCTCTCTCTGCTGCTGGCCACAGCGCAGAGGCTGTTCCTTCCCGTGGCTGCAGGTGCAGCTCACTGCAGCTTAACGTGCCCTGGTGTTTCCCTGGTGGCTCAGTCTCCTCTGAGGATCTAGGTGCTGGCAAGGTAGGGAAAGCCCTTGCAGAGCTCTGCTCCTTTCTCCTCCTGGCTGGTCAGGCAGGCTCTTGGCTGCCAAGCCCTGGGGAACCTAAAATAGAGAGGTAAGTGGGGACAGCATGTCCAACAGACCCAGTGCCTGGATGGGAACCTGTGCCTTCCTGTTGCCTGGCACGCTGATGGGGCATCATCAACATTCCCTGGTGCTATCCTAAAGGGTTGAGAGCCAGCCCTTTCCCCAGCATCCCCAAGGTGTCCCAAGATCACCCCTGCTGCTGCTTCTGCTGGCCATCCACCCGACCTCTTTGCTCTCACTAGTCAGCTCCAGGCACCCCACCTCGCTTCTATGAGTCACATTCCCACTGCTCCGAGGCTCTGGGCCTCTAGCTCTTCCAACAGCCACACCTAGGTCTGAATGGACTGGATTCCCCCAGCACAGAGACCCCAGGGGATGCCCATGCCAGGCTTTGGGTGGGGAGGAGGTAGAGCCTGGGGGAGACTCTCCTGCCCAGATTGCACCCTGCCCTGCTTCCCAGCCAGCTCAAGGGAACACAGCATTCCTGTTTCAGGCAGGGAGATGAGGGAGGCGTGAGCTCCGTGTATCCTGGGGAATGTCAAGGAGAGGCACCCCACCCTTGCCTGCAGCCCTCTCCTCCCTCAAGGGCAGCTCTGAAGTAGGTGCTGCCTCAGTTTCTAAAAGGTCCAGAGACTCCTAGGAACCTCATCCTCACCTCCACCCTCCAGCCCCCCGATGTGTTGGTCCAACTGTGAACACTTTTCCATTGAGCAGCCAGCCTTTAGGCTACCAGGCTGCCAAGCCCTGGCCCCCTGAGATCCTGTGTGGCCCTTGTTCCCTCCTGGCAGGGTAAGGGAGCCTGGCAAGAGAGCCAGAGTGGGCTGCCTGGGCACTGGGCTCACACCCGGGCCACCTCAGGGGCAGAGTGGTGGGGGGTGGGGGATGCCCAAGGGGTTCTCAGGACTCCAGGAAATGCCCGTTATTTTCTACCTAGCTTTCCCATGCGTCCAACTGCTGGGGCAATAGCCTTCTTCTTCCCACCAGAAAAAAGAGCCCCTCTAAGTGCTCCCCTGCCTCCTTCTGGGCCCGACTGGACCACCCAAAGGGGACATAGACCCCCAGGAGGGAAGGGACTGGGCCTTACCTTCTTCATATCTTCCATGGAATCATCACAGCACTGGGCACACAGCTGCTGCCCTGCAAATATTTATCACACTCACTTCATACCTCTCCATGGCTTCTCCTAGATCTCCTGGCTCTCTGGAGCCATCTCCACAGCCCTGGCTGGGCCCCATTCCTCAGTCAGCCAGGGCCAGCAGGCAAGTCTGAGGCCTCTGGCTCCAAGTTCCCTTGGGAAGACTCGTTAGCACACAGTGAACCTGGATTTCATGAATTCGTCATTCAACCACTGCCAAGGTGCACAGTCCTGTCAGGCACTATGCGAAGGGCATCTTGCCCACCAAGAGCTTATCACTCAGATGGGGAGGCAGGGGGCACGGAAAGGCCTGGCATACCTGGTGCCTTCATACAAATCAGAAGAGGCCCCTCTGGGCAGCCAGTTTACAGAAGTCACCATACTTCCTTCAGGCTGATGTAGCATGGTCCCCAGGTTGGGTGAGCAGAACACAGGCTAGATTTTAGCCTCAGGGTTCATCCCCTGCCCGGCACCCTCATGCACCCTTGTGCAGGACGCAGCTGGTACACTCTATGCAGCAGCCCCAGGCCAACCCTGCACTTGAGCATTTCATAACAATCCAAGCGTGGAGAAGAAGGGGAGGGACAGGAGCCAGGAGTCTCATGGCCAGGTAAGCTGTCCAGCCAGCATGTTCTGGCAAAGCCCTGGGGCTAAATTGCCAGGGAAGGCTTTCCAGAGGGCGCGAGACACGAGCCTGAGCCGGAGGAAAGGGTGGGGAGTGCAGAGAGAGCCACAAGCATAAAGGGACACATTCAGGAATGTGCTGGCATGGTGTTCAAGGCTAACCAGGCCTGTCTGGTTAAAGAGAATTAGGAGGAGTCAAGGATGAGAATAGTAATAGCCAACAGTTACATAGTGCTAATCACGGGCCAGGTACTGTGCTAAGCACTTTACATATATTAATCCAGTTAACCATCCTTAAAATTAGGAAGTAGGTATTATTGCCATCCTCTTGTTCCAGATGAGACATAAAGAAGCTAGGTAACTTACTAAGGTCACATCGTCAATGACTAGGACTCAAACACAGGCATTCTGCAGATATTCTAGTTCCAGAGCCTATGCCACAAACCTCTGCACCATATCGCTGCTTAAGAACTATACTTTGGGGCCGAGTATAGAAGGCCAAGAGTCTGGGCCTCATCCTATGAACCTCATGCATGAAAAGGAAGCCTTGAAAAAAGTGTTTTCACTGGAAAGTAACAAGGTTAAAAAATGGTCTTGACACTCAATACTAACAACAAAAAAAAGAAACCCCCCCGCCAGAGTCCCTCTGCTACCCCTATTACCCACACTGCCCGGGGATACTCCCCTCCCTGCCTCCTAGGGCACTTGCAAAAGCCTTCCCAAGGGCTGGGTGTGCTTTAGCTGCTTGAGCATGTCAAATCGCTGGATGGGAGCTCTTAGAGGCAAGGCATGAGTACAAGTCATCTAGTATTCCTTGTGCCTGGAATGAAGATAGAGATGGGAAGGAGGGAAGGGGGAAGAGGGGAAGAGGGGAAGGGGGGAAGGAGGGAAGGAGGGAAGGAAGGAAGGAAGGAAGGAAGGAAGGAGGGAAGGAAGGAGTGAGGGAGGGGGGGAAGGAGGGAAGGAAGGAAGAAAGGAAGGAGGGAAGGAAGAAAGAAAGGAAGAAGGGAAGGAAGGAAGGAGAGAGGGAGGGAGGGAAGGAGGGAAGGAAGGAAGAAAGAAGGAAAGGAAAGAGGGCCGAGTCTGAACAAAATCCTTGTCAGTTACCCGACTCAGAGAACATTCCTCTTTTGCGCATCATTTCTTCCAACTGGCCTGAAAAATCCATCCAGGATATACATAGAATGAATGGAAGAATGATTAATAATGGGGAGTATGAGATTCACACAGGAAAAGGTTATTTATTCCTGGCTTACCACTGGGAATGTGTGATGGGGGTTAATTGCAGGAGACCCCCTCTTAGCACAGGTTCCTTGAGTGGGCAGACGCTGGGAATGTTGAACTGAAGGACTAAAGTTGTGTACAGATGTGTTGCTGGAACCCAGATCAAGGCCTAGGTCTCCCTGGCTATGAGAACAGGGCATCTGCTCATGCCAAAGTGGGGTTACACCTCCCAGGTCCAACGACAGAAGCCAGCTGTGCTGAGGGGCAGAGATGAGACTGAAATGAGATTTTTCCAGTGGCGCCTCCTCCTCTGGGTACCTGCTGGGGGCCACAGTCCTCCCCACACAACCCACCTTGATAAAATAATTGCTATACTTATGAAACACGGTCTAAGCACAAGGCAGCAAACACGCATGACCTTATAAAGGCCCCCCAACAAGAACCTGAGACATAGGTGTCTCTACCCCAGTATGGCCTATGAGAAACTTGTGGCATGGAGGAGGAAGGTAGCTGGCTCAAGCTCACGTGTCTCATGAATGGCAAAATCCACCAACCTAAAGCTCAGGACTGCCAGGCTCTGAAGCCCATCCCACCCCTCCCATCGCTGGGGTCAAACTCCCTCCACAAGCCGCCATGGTGATGCTGCATGAACTACAAAGAAGCGTATGAAGACCAGAAGTGGCTGGAGAACTGTAGCCATGAAAAGGGAATGAAAATGCAAGGCAAGGCCAAGGGACCTGGCAAGGGCTATGGGAGACTGGAGGAGGGGTTGGAGGAAGGGGAGGAGAGACATCTAGGCTGAGGAGATTGAGCTAGGACCATTTCCCAAAGCCGCAGCAAACCTGGTATACAGACATCTTGCCACCGCTAACTTGGCCATGTGATGCTCACCTCCTGAACCCTTGGGCTCCCAGCTCATGGCCTTGAGGACCCTTCAAACCTCCATGATGCACCCCCGCACATGCACATGCACAGGCTTAGCAGGTCTGGCTTATTGAACAGCAGACGCAGGCCTGACTTGAGATGTGCTTACCCCACTCCTGAGCCCATTGTAGACTAAGGCATAGAGAAATGTGGGTCAAAGATACACATTCAGGAGCTGGCCAAAGTCCCAGTCTGCCCTTTCTGTTCTCAAAGGAGCTGGAAATCTACCCTGGGGCCATAAACAAAAGGAAATTTCTATGGGAACTAGGGCCCCCACCTGGGAAGTTTTCATTCAGCAATCCAGCAGCCCAAACCTGTCAACCTATGATGTGCCAGACCTCTGCTGAAGCATTTTATTTTTTAATTTATTTGATTAGTACAGCAACCCTATGACACAGGAACTAGTGCCCCCATTTTATGGAAGAGAAAGCTGAAGCACAGGGAGCCTGTTAACCTGCCCAAGGTCATCCCTAGCAGCGAAGTGCTGGGGCAGGGTCTCCAGGCTGAAGTCTGTCTGCCTCTGTGGGTTGGGATTCCCTTCCCCACCCTGCTGCTCACCCTTGGCTGTGACCGGAAACCTCGCCAGGTCTGGAAACACTTTCAAGTGCTCTGGGCAAACTCTCAAAGTTTCTGATGACTGCTGCTGCATTTCCAAAAGGCTCAGATAACCCCTGAAGCAGGGGACAAGTAAGAGTGGATGACGGCTGGGGGCAGTGGCTCATGCCTGTAATCCCAGCACTTTGGGAGGCTGAGGCAGGCGGATCGCTTGAGGTCAGGAGTTTGATACCAGCTTAGCCAACATAGCAAAACCCTGTCTCTACTAAAAATACAAAAATTAGCTGGGCATGGTGGCACGTGCCTGTAATCCCAGTTACTCAGGAGGCTGAGGCAGGAGAATCGCTTGAACCTGAGAGGCAGAGGTTACAGTGAGCCGTGATCATGCCACTGCACTTTAGCCTGGACAACAGAGCAAAACTCCGTCCCCTGTCCCACCAAAAAAAGAGTGGGTTTCATTTACAGAGGACCAAAAAGGTGCCAGATGCACTTAGATGGATTAGTCAATCCTTCTGACAATTCCATAAGGAAGTGATGATCGTCCCCAGCCTACAGATGAGAATACTGAGGCTCAGAAGGTTAAATTACTCATTCTAGGCTGCATAGCTAAGTGATGGAGCTGAGATTCAAACCCAGGTTCATCGAAGACATAAATTATTTCACAATTCTGCCCTCACTGCGCTACTGCGTTTTGTGGAGCCTCTGACCTTGCACCAAGAACATCAAAAAAGAAAGAAATGTGGAATAAGTTTTTCTCCACAAAGAAGAGATCCTGGAAGGGCGTGGCCTGGCTGGGGTCTTGAGAGGATACCGCCAGCCCCCTGCAGATGCAGATTCCCTCAAGTGGCCCCTGCTGCGGGCACTCGAGGGTGGACATGTCAAGTCGTGGGCAGGGCTGAGGCTCCGGGAGGAAAATGCAGCGTAGGCGACATCTGAAAGCAGAAATGTGGCAGCTCCAGAAGTTTTCATCTGTAGTCTTTGTTTTGTAAGGAACAGGGATTTTTTTTTTTTCTCTCTTCAAAAAGTACTCTACTTCTTTTTAGACCTTTCACAAATATTTTTTTAGGAGAAATAAGGAGAAAAGAAAAAAAAAACCACAGAATGCCTGTCGCAGCTACTCACTTCCATCATGAATCACGGACACAAAACCACAGCTATGTGGCTAGCAGAGGAACTATGTGTTTTCACATTTCATTATTGGGAATCATTTAGCAATCTTCCCTGTGTCATCTGCAGACAGACAGACACAGACAGACAGACACACCCCTCTGGGTCCCAAGCAGCCTCGTACAACACAGTCATCAGATGACTTTGCATTTAATCCATTTTCCCTTTCTGATCCTTTTCTGAGAAATTATCCTGCCAGGTTTAAATCTTCCCCTTTAGCCCTACTGCAGAGGTGGGGTGTGTGTATATGTGTGTGTGAGTGTGCAAGTGTGTGTGTGTGCACGTGTGCATCATGACGAGGGAGGAGGAGGAGGAATGCTGAGACACTGATTCAGTTAATTCCAAAAGTGGAAACAAGTGTATGTTTCAGAGTCCTTCCCTTTTTTTTTTTTTTAACTGTTATCATAATACCACTATAGTTTGCTAAAGTTATTTTCACCTGGGAAGCTCACAGTGCCTTTTCCAACAGTGGCAAATTAATCAACTGATGGCAGATTTAAAGATGGAAGAACTGGAAAAACTACTGGACCCATAAATCAGAAACTTCCTTTACATCCTGGACAAGGGGTGAAACCTGATACGTTTTTGAAAACCTTGAGCTCAAAAGGAGAATTCATGGAGCCTGAAAAAAATCTTCATTATGACTTTTGAGGCATGTTCTCTCCGCAGCTTCCACCCACGCCCCACTTCACACACACACACACACACACACACACACACACACACACGCACACACACACACACAACCTCAGAGGGTGACCCTCACTGAGCCAGCAGCCAGTTCTGTAAAAAGCAGCCGGACGGGACGAACCTTCCCTGGGCCATCTGAAAAAGAGCTTTACCAGTCTTTCCTTTCTTTTCTTGCTTCATTGCTCCCAACCTCTTCCTTTCTTTTTTTTTTTTTTTGAGACGGAGTTTCGCTCTTGTTACCCAGGCTGGAGTGCAATGGCGCGATCTCGGCTCACCGCAACCTCCGCCTCCTGGGTTCAGGCAATTCTCCTGCCTCAGCCTCCTGAGCAGCTGGGACTACAGGCACGCGCCACCATGCCCAGCT